TCAAACATGAGTTATCTCTTCGTTTTATCCTTTTTTCTGGTATAAGGATGAGCATGATCGATGCAACATCAAAAACATTCAGAACGTACCGATCGATTAATTATAAAAACGGCTTTATTAGTATGCCATATTTTCCCTTACCGTAGAATATGATAAAATGTTTTACTACCGTAAGGATATTACAATTAAATAGAATTTACTTGATTTTTCACAGTGCTCTTAGTCCTCAATATGTGTATTTCGTTATTGTGTTGCCCAAAATTAGTTCCAACTTATCGAGGCATTATTTGATTTAGGGTAAGGCGTGCAAAACGGAATGGTTTCAAACAAATGGTGCAGGAAGCGATTACTACGTAGTTGTAGCAATAACAAGGGATCCCAAACGAGTCTTATTGCCTCATAGCAGAGAATAAATGCGGCAGATGTGAGTAAATGCTCTAGAGCGGAATTCAGTAGTCTTAACCAGCGTTTAAAATGGTCATAGGGTCCTAACTATGAAGCCTAACAAGATTTGTATGGTCAAATCCTCCCATCAAGGCTTTCACACCTTTACACCTAATCAAATCTTATCTTTCTTTACCTTCTGGTAACTACTGCCTGGATGGGCCAAAAGGACAAGCCGATTACACGCGTAACGGGAGCCTTCGATCAAATGACAAAGGATTTATTAGTTCATTAAACTTAATATTGCACACACCCTACTAGATTTTCAGTTAAATTTCAATATATCTCATCCACTGTTGTTCCGATTACATAGTTGCTATCAGATCTTACATATCTTTCTATTCACGTCAACTATGTACCGTACTGTGTCTATTTTGAATTTCTTGAGGAATATGACGATATCTAATAACATGCCGTGAATGATTGTGTTTTAAGGTTCCTGGTCCCGAAATGCCTTGCCTCCCACTGACCGCTTAACGCGACAAACACTCGTTGCTCTCTTACATGCATTCCCCCCNCCCCCGGACGGATAAAGATACCGATTGTGCTTTGTCCTCGCTTCGTTTGGGAGTGAAGGTAATATGTGAAGGGTTTATAGTTCCCGAGTGTGAATGAAGGTCACATGAGTACCTTTCACAAAAAGTACGTAACCTGGTTGTAGGTCATTACATTATGGGATGATTAGCACAATTGTAAGCGGTTGGATCGATATCAGTGTGAAACGTTTGCTGATTAACCGGGGTTCTCATTGTCTTGAACCAACAGTGCGTTTCTTTCAAAGTAGATCACTGTTGGCATTTTTCCAAATTATTGTGTGTTCCATTTCTTGTGAGATTTTGGAGTAGGTACATGTGAAGCATAAGCAAAGGACATTCACCATTCCTGGAGGAAATCGTGAATCGATCGATCAACGGAAGTCGAATATCGTGATTAAAGTATCATACATAGTACGTACAAGGAGACTTCCATCCACACAGTCACTAAACTATTGACTAAATTTAGGTATCTTATCCTGCTTGCATTCAAACTGATAAAGAGAAAACTTGTTGTGAGATATGCAATACAATCCGGGGGCGGATTCGCGACTTGTGTGTCCAGGTTGTAAATCTTTGCGTAGTACTTGAATCTTTAACCGGTGGTTTCTTTTTCACCAGAAATATGTGCCTATCTTGCTGAAGTCTGTATGAGGACATCGTTTCCAGTGCATTCGATGATTAGCCGCACCGAGTGATATTGCTCAGTGTCGCAAACATTGGTGTTCGTACACTGACATGATGTTCTTACCACATCAGTCTTCACGGAATTCTCTGTTTTCACCTTGACATTGATTTCAACGTTCGAATGTTGACTTTACTCTTTCATCCAAAACCACCGGACGAAAGCGTTTAGTTTATGGTTTTGAAAACTGGAATAGAGCTGTTAAAGCCGAAGTACAAACACCGACTGTGTAAGGAGAAAAGACAATCTCCTCACTGATACTCCGTCTTGAAAGTGTGTGGCATGTGGAAAATTGCAATGTTAAAAATGTCATCGGAATTCGGTCATGCACCGAATGCTCATCATCTGTCATGCCAATGGCCACTTTAAAATCCGTGTGTCCGATGTACTTACCAATGAACCCGGAGAGTGTTGATGAGGCTTGACTTGCAGCATCCGCCAAATTTTCGCTCAAATTGGTCAGCAGCAGTTTTCCCACAGATGCTTCTTCCAGTTCTTCCTCGTCCGAATCAGGTTCGTCATTTGACTTGGACCGTGCCACCTCTTCCAGTGGCTCAAGCCGCTTGGTATCCCCACCAACGACGTTTGCCATTTGTCTTGACAGATCGTCTTGACGTATATTCACAACAATTGATGAATGAATTTAGTTTTTCATGCAGATCATAAAAACTCAAGCGGGTGTAAACAAAAGTCTTTTTTTATGAACACGTCGTGTAAATTAGGCACGACCTGAGAAACTAGGAAAAACTGGACAGCTGTTTCGACCGAGTTGGCTCTCATCAGGGTTGTGCCATACCGTGTATATTCAAAATGATAAACGATGTGATCAGTTGCCCAGTGACTGAGTATTAAGTATGCTAGCGTTATACCTGTGAGGTTCCGAGTTCGATCCTCAGTTGGGTCAATGGTCTTACCGCTGCTGATGAAACAGCTATTCAATGCTTCATGCTTTTCATCTCACGCCTGATTTACACGACGAAGTTATAATATAATGAAAGCAAGTTCTCCATTCTTCTCATACGACAAGTTAGTTTTCACAAGTTGTTGAATGAATTCCCTCTGGGATATAGATTAACGTTTAGGGTGATGATGAAAACGAGTCCTGACTGAGCTCACTGCAGGAAAGATGAAACAAATTGGCCTTGAGAATAATTATGAGTTTCCGAAAAATCATGATAAACCGAGATACATGTGAAAAACATGGTTGAGAGGTTTAGTTCCTTAAACTGTGATGTGATGATAGGAGACACAATTAGCATATATGACCATAAAACGCATAAACTATATAAAACTAATAATAACAATCGTGCTATCTTGATTATACCATTTAGTGCGGAAATAAATGTGTATTGCTTCAGCGCACGCCTTGTTTATCCCGTACACGAGTTGATCGAACTCGGGATACACGACCTTCAATATATATATAATCTGTTTCCATTATCACACATACACGTCAATGGCCATGTGCAACGAGTGTTTATCTCAAACTTTATATCCCATTATAATATTCTTACTTCATTTCAATCACTTTGAAGTAATGCGTTATCGGGATAAAGTGATCTGAATGTATGTACACAGCTGATGAGATAACCACGAAATAGGTGAATTCATCACATCCTATGATTATAAAGCTTCTTCTTGCTCTAAAGAAAACTGTTACGGGGAACTAGTTGCATGTAATAAAATTCATTCCCGTACTTTCTTCTGCTTGCACTCGGTTATCTGACAGCTGATGCACCCCCACCTATTGTCGAAATCAAGAATTCATACGTGCATGTTATTCGACAATGAGAACCAACAATGTAAGTAAACATTTTGACATATATGTTGTATGTGAAATAATTCCATTCCCATTTCCGTCGAATGATCTGTACTGGTACACATCACGCAGTCGCAATAACGGTATTTGACTATCTTCGTTCATTGATTATCGTTTTGAGTATCAAGCATACCAATTATCCAACAGTATACCTCATTTAATTATACAACCATGAAATTAAAAGCAGCGATTGAAGTGCTTTAGGGGACAGGTAAAAGTAAGGTCAACGGCAGTGAGGTTCGAACACACGACAGCAATGACGAAGTGAGAATGTTCAAAAACCGTCGGAGCGTGCCAATAAAAATACCATTGATTGATAGCGGTCACATTTCGTGTCACAGATTATGCAACATGTGCCAAAATGGAATTACAGGTTTTAGTTTGCTTGAGGCTAAATTAATCAGTTTTCGGGTCATGCGGGCTAACCGAAGACGCATCTTCCGAAAAATTTCGTGAAACGTTTCTCCATTCTGCATCGGGAAACGAATACAAAAAGTTCGCTGAAAACCTCCATCAGGGTACCGAGTGGATGTAATCGGTTCTCATGAATGAATCTTATATGATTATATCAGAAGTGAGGAAGGTACATGGTCCCTATTGCCATGGAGCGATTTTCGTATATAGAAATCTAAAGATGAATAGATATTTGTTCTCTAAAGTGAGATAGAAATTCGGAGATGTTTAACCTTTCATATCTCACTATCTCTTCTAGGAATTCATATTCGGTGAGAAATTGGTGGATACACCAAGAAAGTGCTCATCACATGTCCACAAGAAACCGACAATACATCTATCTGCAGAATTGTGCGCTCTATTCATTCATCTCCTGTGTGGGTTGATGCGAAGGTTTCCTACGTCGCAAAACGTTGTCTTTCATTTTACACGAAATCTGGGTTACACATACGAAACGGAGACACGTGTTCAAAACACGTCGTTCACTGTGTGCTCTTATCCCGGACATGAAAGAACGGAATGTATAAAAATTTTATCAGTTGATTTTCGGAAAGGATTTTTTTATTACACACCTGGGTAAGATGAACAGCAGACTGGGTAAACCCCATAGTTACGAGGACCTGCTGTTCAGTGGTTGAGATCGGCAACCTAAGCCCCGGAACTTGGAATGGCAAATCACATAAGGCCCCGATAGGTTAGTCGTGATATTGAACCGGACGATAACAGAGCTGCCTACCACCAAAGTCGGGTGGCGGGGCTCGAACCTTGGACCATAGGGTCCAAAGCACGCCGGTGACAGCGACTAAACTCTTGCGCCGCCACCACCCGACACTGGTAAAACTTAATCGACAAATGGAATAGAAATAATGCCATTCCAAGGTCACAAGCTGACCTAAAAACCAGAGATTTCGTGGTCAACTTCTAGCCTGCTAAAGACTCATTCAAAGAAGCCGGACACAAAATCCTATTCATAGCGAAAGCTATCACGAATCCTATACAGAAAAGTTGGTTTTCGAAATAGTGTATTGTTGTGGCCTGATACGAAGTACCGAAAAGCCAGTTCTGTATTTACCTCCCTCAAAATTCGTTGACCAATCGCGGTTGCGCCTCGGTAATGCATTAAGTTCTTCGCCGTGGTTTACCACTGTTTGGGTCATGCCGTTTAACAAACAGAAAGAGTAATATTGGCTTAATAGTTTATGTTGCACCAACTATTTGATTACCGTTATTGAAATCCACACTGAAATTCAACAAAGTGGTTTTCATCACGTGACTCTTTTCAAAATAATAACCGTAAATCCACCTGATTCCTATGTTTAAACTGATTGTCAAACCAGACTCTTTATAGCATCACACGCTTGCTCAGCCAGTATAATGCAACTCACCCGAAGTCGAGCCGCGCTTCACTTCCGATGTAGCCAGCACCACACTGTTGTCTCTGAGTGCAGTCGTTGTAGACACACTGTCAGTGTGTGCGATCGACGACAAATGAGTATTACTGTAATGGAGTAAAAGCATTGATGAGTAGAACCGGTATTGAAATGCTTTCTTTTTCCTTATTTGGCTTACTTTACAAATGGAAAACTAAAAAGGAAATCAAAGAACCCATAACAAATTTGTGTTAGATGCAAGCACTGTAAGTTTATCATGAAGCTCTTTCACTGACACCTGTTTACACTAAAGTCAGCAAATAATACCCATAACATTTCTTATTCCTCATTCAGTTTACCACTATGACCGCTTGTAATCTCGGTCAGAAATTTCAATGCAATCAAATTTGAATTTTAACAATTCGAACGGTCGATTTAAGCAATAAGAAACAAAGCATCCCGTCCACATCAATAGACCAAGCACATTTTCAATGAATTCATGAAAAGCGATAAACCCTATGCACTACGTCGAAAAACTCATTTCCAACATTATTCTGATCGACTGACTGATCGGAAGCCGTTTTTACACTAATTTGTGGTAGGTCTGAAGCGCAGTATCCTGACAGAACCCTGCGACATTTTGAAGTGATTGTGACGTGCGAGCTTATTTGATTTGCAGAAAGCGATTCAACGTTTGCTTCGTCAATGCTCATGTTGTTAAATCCAACATCATATGAGGATGCGGCAAAGCTTTGAGAGACACACACTCACAAGATCTCCAGTGCTATCTACCCAAGAACCAAGAATAAACGTTTAAGTGAATTTATTACAAATCTACAATAAAGTCCCTCTAAGTTATTTGAGTATTATTTTTCCCGTATGTTTATATCACTTTTTCTCAGAGTGACTAAAATTTTGGCTCAGATGTTTACTAAACCACACAACAGAATGCAGGTTTATCGATCTTGATGGGAACCAAATCAGAAGGAACATCCACAGGACGAGCACCAACTCCTGGGAAAGTTTTCAAACAATGGATAACATTGGTACAGTTAATTTACCAACATCTATTTATTTATAATGTACTACCTCTGTGTGATTTCGTACTCAACAGCTTTTCAGGCACTTATGGAATTGTATGAGACTTTAATGTACATGAAATGGAACCTGATTGAAAGCACTGAAAAACTGATCACACAGTTAGACAACACCATACACGTATGGTGAGGTGTACTGATTGTTGCTGGGACTGCTATCGCACCACCAACTTCTGAGCCGAAGAGAACACAATTAAAAAGGCACAGGACAGTATATTAGAGAAAAAAGTGTCTCTCCCTTTTTGTGCTAGCACTCGTTCTTTTTTATTGCGTCCGATGCGTTCTGAACGATCGATATCAATTGACCAATCAGAGTCGTCGAACCGCCCGGTTGATTACGCTGTCTGACCAATCAGAAAACGTCGTACCGTCCATGGCGAAATACAGTGATCGATCATTTCGGGCCGGAGGCTCACCCAGCTGCGGCTTTTTTTTTGGCTATTCTCGCCAAACATATGACTCTTTCGACCGGATTTTTTTTCAGTTTACCCTCCTGACATATGGGTAGGAGCCTTTCACGGTCTACTTGCTTCTATCATTTGAGTGCTTTAAGTAACTCTCTATGTTACCTGTGTGATTTTAAACAGCTTAAGCTTTACTGAATTAGTAAAAGAACAATGAGTTGAACAAATTACGTTTGTTCTAACTGCTGTGATGGGTATCCTTTGAAGCTTTGAAGTATACTGTTGTAGAAAAAGGGTGTGATTCTCATGTAATTTCCTGAGTGCGTCCTGCGGAAAACTGGATGATTTTGGTGGGAAAAATCACAGAAGGATGGCCTCGGAGTTGAAGTACAAATTGAATAATTACCAATAGATTGTGGCATCCTCGATGATAATTTGAATAGTAGTTAATCAATAAGATCAGTTTTCATATATAACCGACGGATGCGCAGCGTACGGTAACCTTTGGTTAAACTGAGTTTTTTTAGTTAGGCCTATACAGTCTGCCAAACGCAGCGAAATCGACGAAATCGCTATCAAAAAGCTGTCGACAGAAAACAGTTTTGGATATCAATTTGTGACGGATTAACAAACAGACCATATGTGGACGCCGTTGTGTAAAAAGGCAGTATGAGGCGTGAACTGAAAAGGTGGGTAGTACTGAAAGACTGTCTCAACCTTGTTGAGTCTCATCAGCAGTGCAAACTCCCCTACCCTAAAGTACCATGTATTGTGAATACCGTGACACCTGTAATTCTCATGTTGTTACTGATAAATTTCATTTCGATGTCTTTAGCCCATCTGTTTCGTTGGATCACTGAAATTTTCCAATTCCTGTGGTCACCTCTCAATCTCAAACGGTGGTACGAATAACCGTAGTAGTGCAGCATCTGCCGATTCAAGAAGCGATATAAGGACGTCATCGCAATACGGTAAGGGTGTCAAGTAACCCGACGCAGACAGTAAACTTCGTTTGCCTTCTCTGATCATTCTTTAGTTCATGTACAATTGGAGAAGCAGAAGGGGGTTCACGGTAAAAACTAAAATACTCCATGAGGACTCAGTGCACTAGACATTATCCAAAACACGAAACTGGTGAGGCAAAATCATTACTCATCTCACGGTAAACTGATGGATACCATCACAAATGAAATTGTTCACATCAGTGATGGCATTTGTGACCGTGAACAAGGATCAATCTCTCTACTTTCCTTCATATAACTTTGAGCAGCTTCATGATTTAGAGACGAGCAGTGTACGTTTGGGAACAAAATTGGGACCCACATATTTCATCAGGAATCTGCACATTTTGGGCTCTCGTATAAGTAGTAACATGAACAAAATGGATATCACTAAAATTGTACTGATTGTCCGTAACGCATAAGAGGCAGAAAAGAGAACATATTATCATGGGTCAGCCAGAATCACTGAAATCACAAATTGTTTTGTGCATAATGAACAATGGTGTTTGTGAGCTACTAGAGACTCGATGCATTCAAACAAACCGTGGATGAGGATGAGTTAAAATGAAATTTTATATCTGTTTTCATATTGTCTTAGCCTGAAAATATTTTAGAAACGGAAAAATGAATGCAAGCAGTGAGTTAAAAAGCCAGTATTACTAATAATTCGCAACACAACCAATGTGAGTAATTTATCTTCCAATAAAGTCAACTAGAATTCAGCTCTATACTGGATGTCTATTGTCTCATTGAGTTTCGAAATGATATCCAAGACAAAGAAATCTGTCTCCATCTGCACAGCTTTGTTAAACCCGTAGGATTATGAATGCCCAAATTGAGTTGTACTCGACCTCGGAAGACAAGTGCCTATAACCTCGAAATTTTTTTCGACTCCAAAACGATAGCCAGCAATAATGCAGTAATGGAATTATAAAGGATTACCATTTGGGCAGACAACACACCACGAGCCGCAACCTTCCCCAAGGAATTTGTCCTTAACAGGTGAAAGGCACGATACGAACCGAGAAAGTTCACTACTCTTTCGAACTATTGAGAAACGGGAAAGCAGCTTCGGGGTGCATAAGTGTTGAGGGGTTGAGGTGACGCATGGGTAAGCTAGAGTACCGAATACAATAGTATCAAACACCAAGATACGACAGTAAGATAATAATTAAAGGGTAGATTGAGTAATACCATATCACGGTCGTGGGGCAGTGTACACGATAAATGTTAAGTTGAATAGATGTTCAAAGAAATAGGGTCATTAAATATGTACAAGAAGCAAATGTTGGGTGATCGATAGTATGAATAGATTCACGCCGTAGCAAACGACAGCAGGGTGATCATATAACTGTGTGAACGGCGGCGTATATGTTGTTGAGGCCAAACAGATTCTATAGACCTCGGAGTATACCATAAACACTAAACTATACTATTGTAACTGACGAAAATACATTTGAGTCTTATGCTCTTCAAGTTTGCTCTTTTTCTAGAATTGAGATGTTTGTTTCCATCGATAGATGGCTTTAGGTAATTGCTTCCTACGTGACTGCACTCGTTTGAAACGCTTAATTTTGGTATCTCTATGGGAATTTTAACTGTTCATCGTCAGTTTGTGAGCTGGGACAATGGTTTCTGTGAATCAAGGTCGACGGCTATAAGTTTGGTTAAGTGATCACCATTGATGAAGAAAATATGACTCCTCCCTCATGCCAAATCGATCGCAGATTGGGTAAAACGAGAATTTAGTATATCAATCAATTAGACCAATTTCGCAGGGCAATTACAGTTGACAAAACATTCTGATGTCCTTAAGGTAGTTGAAGCCGAGTAGTACGCGCACAACAGTTTTGACTGAGTCTTTTCAATACTTGGGGAGCACCCGAGAAAATTATTTCAATAGTACAATCCTTTTATACTAATAGCCGAAGTTGATTTGGGGCTTACAGTATGTTTTCACTAAGTTCAAGACCGAAAATAGTGTTATTCAGGATAACCCTCTTCTTCGTTCTCTGTCTTACTTCGTCATACATTTGATTCTGGAGACGGCCATGTTCTCGTGCGAGGATAGCAGCATTGATTTTCTCCCAAGTGGAAAACTATCTGTTATGGTGTATGCAGACAACAATGTAGTGTGAATGAAAAACGCAGGTACGTTGCAAACATTTCTGACGGATTGAGTGTCAGCTTAGCTATTTTCACTATGCGTTTTGTGCCTTCAAAGTGCAACATGTCGCTGCCGGAATAGGTTGGGTTAACTTTCAACCTCACTCCAATTAGGGAATTAATAGAGCAAGTGGAGAAATTTGTTATTTGGGTTGTTTTATCTAACCCGGTGGACACACCAAGGTTTACACACAAAAGTTTCGATGGCATTCTCAAACTCGATACACGTGAGGCGCCGTCACAATATTCGGCTGTTTGTGAAGGATTGAATCTATGCTTCAGCAGTTTCGGCCAGTTTTCCTTTGCAGCGCAGAAATTGGGTCATTAAATAAACAGGATAAATATAGAGTGTCGGTATTCGAACACCGCTGTCTACGCAGCGTGGAACGGATATTGTGGAGTAACCGGACAACCAATACTGAGGTTAGATGCATAAATTTATGGGGTGGCGACCGCCCACTGAAGCAAGTGGTTTACCTCTGTAGATTGGGTTGGTTGGGGAATGTGATACCCATGCCACCAAATAGGTTTCCACGGCGTACGATGTTTATCGAGGCAGGTAATGGTCGGAAAAAGCCAAGGGTGTTCTACCTAAGACAGCGTGAAGGTATGAAGACACTGATTAAGAGACTCAATCCTTTAGGTTGCCTTAGATTTTTTGTATGAGTACCTTGGCATCACGGTAAGCAATGGTTAGAGAAACTGGTTGATTTGATAGTGTCGATAAAGTGGCGTTCGTACATCCTAATTTTTACCGAAACCTTCTACCGGAATTGTTCTCTTTTTCGACACCGCTTTCAACTTCCCAAGCTGTCTTCTATACCTTCCTCCAAATTGGAAACCAAAAGACAGCGAGAAAGACCGCAGCACGAAAATGCATGTTCAATGGTTGTAGAAAAGATGTACTGAAGGGAACTTAGTTTGCTCGACAAACTCAAATTTTTCAGTTTTATAGATTACAGTTACTATATTGCAAGTTCTACATTTAGTATGATCCATCGGGCTTTACTATTTAATGCGGGACTGCTCATGTTATTCACTGGTTTCGAAAAACCATTCAGCTTGTATACCTTAGGCAGACCATAGTGTATCAGTTGTTGTGTTCTGCAAGGTGGCAATTTTCTACTGTCTTTGGGATGTAATGCTCTGATTTCAACTGTTTCGATAACTCCATGGAATGCAACTTACTCATGATTTGATGGCATGGGAGGCGTAAAACCTACCTTAGTAACACTAAACCTAACATTTCAACTTCGTCGTTCGTCTGTAAAACTTATCAGTGGTGTACCTAACAGCTTATCTTTGCAACCTGGATGTTATGTAACACAACCCAAATATTGCAAGGTGAAAATAGAAAGCGAATTTGCGAACTTCATGTATCAAATGTGGAAGCTTGCATCAGTTTCTACCCATTAATCAGAAAAATCGGTAGTTCAGTGTAGCTATAAACAATGCATAAATAGATATGGCCAGAGCGAGAGCGACTAATAAATACTCAGGTCAATCTAATTAGACTACAATAAACCGAATCTTGGACAACATGCTTTCGTTTGAAACGGCCTATTGAAGATGCGTATTTTGCAGTATATGTAAAATATCCGATTTCTGCAGGGGTGGACATGAGTTTCCTCCAAAAGGACTTATTTTTGAGGGGGACTTGAACGACTGTAAATACAGGACAACATCCCTAGCCTGACTATTTATATCAAACACTTGCACGATACGTTTATCATTAGTTAGTTAGTCGGAAATAATATAACAAATTATCGCCATTGTATAATAAATCCTATCTATTTCGGGATGGAACAGCGCGATTTTGCCACATTTCTTGTTGTTAGGATGCACCGTGTTGGTTGATGATTGCATAGAACGTTGCCTACAACGTACACACGTGGGGCAGCAACACATTACACTTCTAGAACACAATTTCAGGCGAATAATTGTTTTCAATAACTCATAACCATGCCGTTACAGTTTATATGAGGGGAAAATCCTAGGGGTTATGAGGAGAACAATAAAATGTGAGGATTCGTTCACTTCGTGTATGCGTGTCCGTGTTTGTGTGTGGTGCACACTGTATTCTCAGATATGTGCTTCCGGCGTGTGCAGTTATGTCACAACGGTTGTGGGGGAGGAGTGGGTTCGCGAACCCAGGGGAGATGGAGAGCTTGGATAAAACGTTTCTGGGTCAATAGTTCGTGGGTCGAATACTTAATACAGATGGCCTCGGTTATAGCCAACGTACGCATTCTAACACATTTGGACCGGGTCGGGGAGACCTGATAAATAATGCGGAATGCTTCACTTGGGTTAACACGATGGCCAGTGTCTACCAAGTGAGCGAGAATCGCACTTGTGATCCGGAATCACCTCAACTCAGCCAGCAGGGATGGTGTTCTTTCATGCGGATTGATAACTGTCGCGCCGTACGACCGACGTAGAGTGCGTCACAAAAGCATCTGAACGAGGAAACAATCATTGAAGTGGTCAAAATCGGTAGTTTATCTTTATTCCGTATGTTTATCAGTGGCGAACTTTTGAAAGAGCAGCGTAGGTGCGCGGTGTTGAATGTGGCTTTTACCGCTCCATTCTGTCGTCTTATTAGGGTTTCAGCAGCAACTTCACCCTTAAAAGAAAGACTAATGATCAGGTCCTTCTTTTAACCCTATCAGTGTGTACTTTTGGTACATGTTCCATCATATTTCGTTGAATGAAACGGTCGGGGTAGCCATTGCTTTTGAACACATTGAAGATAAACTTGAGTCGTATGTCGTATACATACCGACAATAGTTATGAAGACTAGTAATCGTGTCTTTCAGTTGGTTATTCTCCAGCATCGCCATGAAAAATCCGCCGGAAGGAGTCCTAGGGGTGAGCCCATCGCTACTCCGTCCTCTTGTCGATAGACCGTTCCGTTGAAAAGAAATTGGACGTTACACCGAAATAAAAGCTCGCGTAGCGCTTCTATGGGTATCCCCAAATTAATCAGTAAGATGTTTTATGATGAACTGGATGGTTTCCACTAGTGGCACATTTTTGAAAAGAGAAGGTAATATCCATTGACAGTATCACCGTATCTGACACGTTTATATCTCGTATTGCTTCAATAAATTGGAAGGTATCCTTAACACTAAATACTGATAACCGTTTTCTTTCAGGTTCACGGATTTTAGCCAACCATTGAGCGACAGCATGGTATGGAGATTTAGTCATCGATAGGATAGGATGAAAGGGAACCTGGGACTTAGGGATTTTTGGCAAACCATATAGCCTCGGAATGCATGAACCGGTAGGTCTTATGCGTTCATACAGTTCACTGCTTATGAAACCCTCTTGAGTGAGTCGTTTCAATATCCCCGTGATTAGTTGTTCAGTCCGGTGTGTTTTGTCTGTTTTCTGTTGGTGTGGTTGTGAACTTGTCCTCTTCCGATACGATAGCTAGCAGTTTGTCAGTATGTTCCTTCTTGTCCATGAACACAATCCCGGTTTCTTTATCCGGGTGACTGAAAATTATATCTTTATTGCATAAGCACTGAGAATATCAACATGAGTCGATCATCATTGATTTTTCTCTATACAAATTAACTATTCTATTTGAGCTTATTTTTAACTAGTCTCTATATTCCCAGACTACGCCTTGATTCTTGTTAGTACGACGTTTTGGTGCCGATTATGAATGTGCTTTTGATTGTCAAAGTACAAATACTGTGCGATTTCTAAAACATGATTCATTCGTGATACAAAATATAGTTTATACGCTCATTCGAAACTTACAGCAGGTCACCAATGCCCAATTCTTTGTCCTGTAAAACAAAGTGACAAATGATTTAAAAACGAATTTGACGCGAATATTATATTGAAGTTTTGAGATTGAACAAATGCGGGGCACAAGTAGGTGTTCTCGATCTACTGTTAGGAATGTAATTGAACAAATAACCGTTTCTGCTGGTTTCTTTCAGGCCGTCGTGTAACAAGGACACGATTGGTCCAATTTTAAAGCCTACGGTGAATCTTGTCCCGGTGTTGGAGAATCCCGATCATAATCTGATTAGATTCAAACGCACTAAAACCCTGACTTAACTTTGTGAGGGATTGCTTCACAGGAGCAAAAAGAGTTCACTGGATATAACCCTACACACAACTGAGAAAATCGGTTTCAGGATATGATCACACTTATTGAACCGGGAATGAAAAGGGATACTATGACATGGTCGAGCCGTTTCACCAAATGGTTTGAGCTCATGGAACTGTGCATGTACGCTGGTGGAGAACACTTTGAGAAAATGTAATGCAAATTGTTGTGTAAAAAATAAAATGTTTATGCATTCGGAAACCTATTGATCAGCCCTCGTAATGGCTATGATTATCTTCGAGTTACAAATAAAAATTGGGAAAGGTATTTATTGTTATTTCATCCGTCGATGCTACTTCATCCATGAAATCTGTTTTAGCATACGCACACACGCAAAAGAGGCAAACACACACAAGTACATGAAAACCAACTACGTATTACTGGTGCTTGTCACCCAAAGATGGCTCTTAGAAGGTATATAAGATAGAAACCCCTTTTTTAGCCTTCTTCAATCGTTCATTGAACTGAATACCGATTACCGAACTATGCACGGGTCCCATTATGAATAAGGCATCATGCTGTTAGGCGAAGAAAAAAGCTATTTGCTTTAAGAAACCATGATTATTATTTTGATATATTGTGTTTACGGTTTCGACAGTGATTTGGATTCTGTGCGAACGCTGGATAAGATATTTGAACGGGATGAAAAACGATCCGAGCGATGACAAAGATACCAGGTTCTACATAATGTTAGGTGTGTGTCTCAACCATAGTTGGGAGTTCGTTCCTCTCCGAATGCTCAGTATATTTCGTGGGTAATGGAATCGTGTGATAAAATAAGTGCCTTCATCTCAGTCGTACGATCACCTTTAGGCGTTTGATGAACTAAATCAAAGCTGAGCTGCACGGGGGTACTTCATTGAATGTACAGAAACAGAAACCACTAAACTGTAAAGCATCGAATGGTAAACAAGTAGCCGGCAAATCTGTACTATTGTGACCAGCAGTTACCATTTCAAAGACGAACATAGCAGTTGGAAGCCGATAGAGTGGAACACTTGTTTCTTTCAAATTATATCACACCTAATTTGTCGGATAGTACGGAAGTTTTCGGTAACCCAATTGATAGCTCGTGAAGGTGATAAATAGAATAAATCACTCATTTCATTCATGCATCTGATAATGGCTATTCTTATCCTAACTCTCCGCCCTCCCTTCACTTACCACAGGGACATTTGAGTCTTCGTGAACAGCAGCACTTTCCCCTTCTTTGTTTCCCGCCAAGTCCCAGATATCAACATCACTCTGTAACAAGAAAAAAGAGAAATCGTGATGAATCAGCCCCATAACCCCGCTTTCCATCAACATGAAGATGTGCAACTCAAATGCGATGAAATTAAATATATTGCCAAAAATGAAGAAATAAGAAAAACTTACTATAGACACATCGATTTCGCTTCTCATAGATCTAAAAGATGACTTCATTATAAGGTAGGCAACAGGATTGCTGAAAAAAAGGTGTTCTGGGTCGGCAGGTGACAAATTAACATAGACGACTTAGAGCAGAAGAGCAAATGGTTTCACAATGTCATTTGAATGATTCCCCGGTTGTCATGACATATTGCTTGGTATTGTACTTCACTCTCAGACGTGCATTGTTCTCATTGACTGTTGTAGAATATGTTACCTTGGGATAGATTGTATACAGAAATTCTCTACCATCTATACAAACGTTACGATTGAAATACCATACGTTCGGAGCATCTGAAAGTGGGAAATTCATATCAAAATTTTGATATGAGACCACCGGCAGCTACATCTCATCCGTTGGACGCATCGCGGATGTGTTTGCTCGCATACAGAAGGCTCGGTTGGCATTTGCCAACTTGAGACATCTGTGGCACCGTCGCGACATCCGGCTGCCTGTGAAGGGTCGAGTGT